TAATTCACTTCAGAAACACTTTTTGTTATATTCCATGGAATGCTCTTAACATCCCGATAGCAATGAATATATTAAATGCTTTGACAATAAATCCATAAAAAAATCTGTGGAAGCCGTAGCGCTGTAAAAAGCACGACCAATCATTTTAGCCGGCCCGGCTAAAATAACTGGATGGCCTACCTGCCTGTCAGCCTTCCATCTGTGCACAAACTTCTCTCGTGCCCTCATTGGTCATGTGCGCGTTCGTGTGTGTTGGAGTAGGGGCTCTGTAAGGAAGTCTGAAGGAAGGGGCAGATTTTTTTCGGCTGTGTATTTTCAAATTCTAGCGCACTCAAGCTGGTTTCTCCATTCTTACCTACATTACCTCTAAGTCCAGTTTTTATCACTTGAGGCTCCTGTCAAAAATTAAACCGGTTTTATCCTTTTTGGACTTTGAGCTTGTAATTCATGCCTTTTGTTTCGACTCGTCTAGATTATTGTAATGCACTTTATGCCGGCCTAAACCAGACTTTGCTGGCACGCCTGCAGCCGGTACAAAACGCTGCGGCTCGGCTGCACATTACACCTATTCTGGCTCCCCTCCACTGGCTTCCTGTCCATTTTAGAGTTCATTTTAAGATTTTATTGTTTATTTTTAAATGGCTTAATGGGCTGGCCCCTCAGTGCATCTCCGGCCTCCTACAGGTGTACACTCCCTCTAGGGCTCTGAGGTCGACTGATCAGCTGCGGCTGGTAGTCCCTAAAACCAAGAAAAAGACCAGGGGAGACCGAGCCTTCTCAGCGGTAGCCCCCAGGCTCTGGAACAACCTGCCCCCCCATGTCAAATTGTCGCCCACTCTTTAAACGTTTAAGTCCGGCCTAAAGACCCTCCTCTTTTCCCTCGCTTTCGAGTCAGTCTGAGCTACGCTCTACCTATTTGTATGCTTTTATTGTCTGTCCATAGCCTTTACGTGCCTTTTATCTATTCTTGTAATATTATATTTTGTTATAATGATATCTTCGTTGTGAAGCACTTTTGCAAACCCTCTGTTTTTAGAAATAAAGTGGATTGGATTGAAGGCAGTGCGACAGTCGTGTGGCTCATCGCTACAGTATTGTTATTTATTCATCTCCTGTCGTGGCTATGATTTGGATTGTGATCTTTTGAATGAGCTTTTTGTTGCTTATTTTTTATATTCATCTGATAATTCTAAAATAACAGAATTTATTGTGGTTCTGTTGTTGTGTAATGCTGCTTGTTCAGCTGTGTAGCTTATTAGCCTGCGAGCATTGAATGTTGTTCTTGTTGGAGAATTATTTTCATAGCACCTGATTTAAAAAGATCCAGCGCCTCAAAGCTCCCTAAAATGCATTTTCTGCCACTGCCGCAGATTTCATGAGGTTGTTAAAAGTAATTAGATTTATTTACCACAACATGCACGTACAGTAGGGAGCCCAAATATTACAGACTGCTTAGTGTAATCTATCCATTTCATCCGGCTCGGAGTACGGCACATTAGGGGCTGCTTCAACAGTTTCTGTTAAATGAAACGAGTCATTTAGCAGCTTGTTTTAATGCTAACCACGGGATGTTATGTCATGTGTTGGTGTTTGTAGCTGGAGGAAGGACACACGGGACGTCTGGAGCGCACCGAGGACCTGTGGTTGCGAGTGAGGAAGGACCACGCCCCCCGGCTGGCCCGCCTGTCTCTGGAGAGCCGCTCCCTCAGGGATGTGCTGCTGCACGGTGAGTCACCACAGAGTCCTCCCTCTGTTCATTCATGCAGTGAAACTCACAGACCGACGTACCTCCCAGAACAACTTTTCAATACTGTAAAAAGTCATTTGGGTCGAGGATCGGCCTGTGTCTTCATGGACAGCCCGTAGGATCCTCCCGCTCAGCGCAGGTGACATTATTTTGGGTCTACCACTTTTTCGTCCCGTAACCCACAGGATCTTTTAAGAAATGTAAAAAGACCATCTTACTGCGTCCAACCTCGGCAGCGAAGGAGCGTTGCGAGAGGTATTTTGTCACCAGGAGGTCATGACAGTGTGAATGCCTGAATGAAGATGACATGAAAGCCAGGTTTTTGCACTGATTTTGAATTTTTAAGGCAATGGTATTAAACCTTTGATCGGCTGATGAACAGCCTGTTTGAGTTTAAATGCAGTTTTCAATAAATTGCCTACTCTCTTTATTTGATCTATTGCCCCTGTTTCTTTTCTTTTTTTTTGCATTTTGAAGCTCTACTAACAACCTGGATAAGATCCACCCGTGAGAAATATAAATTCTTGTAATTTGGAGTGCATCACATTATACAAATTGTTCATTTAAAACGTTTTAGAACATTACTACAAAGATTTCTCTTAGTTTACTATAAAGTATTAAACTCATATTTACTGAGACATTTTTATTCAGAGGAAAATAAAACAGTCTTCTAGTGTCTAAAGTTTGCACATCATTCTGCACAGTGAAGCTCAAACATCCGAATGAAGTAACCATAAGCAAACAGATTTCTGACTGAACTCAGTGTGAGAACAACACATCTAGAGACAATACGTCTTTAGATACAATACTTAATTACATTAAGGTGAATTAATTCAATCATAATCTCACCTGGCTAATAAAGAATCCAAACTTGTTTTCTGACAGGCAAGCCTAAGCTGGGCCGAGAGTTGGGCCGCGGTCAGTACGGCGTGGTGTACCTGTGTGACAGCTGGGGCGGACACTACCCGTGTGCCCTGAAGTCTGTGGTCCCGCCTGATGATAAACACTGGAACGACCTGGCTCTGGAATTTCACTACACAAGGTGAGTTGGTTAGAAACGTTATTCTTCACAGTGTGGAAAGATGTCTTTGGCTACAAATGTTACAAAGGTGTGTGCAAACCCTGCATACTGAATACATGCATCATTAAGTGAGCGTAAAACATCACACACACGGACAGACGGACACAGCTGCTTTGTTCTTGTTATATCAGCAGCAAACCTGTTTCTCGTAGAGATATTTCAGAGGTTTTCTTCACATCAAACCTTAATTACAAAAACGGAATAGTCATCACAGCTGTCAGTGAATTATACTGACAGGCAGGAGGTGAGGATTGAACATTTCCAATGACTCGCTGTGTCTGAGCTGCTCCATCTATTAAAAGTTTGGACATTGAACATGAAAGTTTCACCGTTTGCTGTGAAGGCCAAACTCATCCTAGTGTTTTCAGTGTTGAAGCCTCGAGGCTCTGCTGTGCTCACATCAGTTGTTGAAAGCGTCTAATTAATATTCGTCTGCTCCAACTGCCATAAAACTGAGGAATGCATGACGAGTGTAAAAAGCTGCCTTAATGTGGACAAACAAGACTTGCACGAGTTTCCTGTGACTTCAAGATAACAAAGGGATTCTTTAAGGATCATATGGCTGAAATATTGTCTTTCTTTCCTTTGGATGTGTGTTTCTTCAGGTCCCTGCCGAAGCACGAGCGGCTGGTGGACCTGCACGGCTCGGTGATCGATCACACCTACGGGGGGGGGTCCAGCATCGCCGTGCTGCTCATCATGGAGCGGCTGCACAGAGACCTCTACACAGGCCTCAAGGTGACTTAGATTTGACCAAATCCAATAATATTCCTCTAAGTCGTTACTTCCATTTTAAAGCTGATTCTTACCAGTTTGATGTTGAAGTTTGAAGTATCCATGTTGGATTTTTATATTTTTGCCCAAAAAATACAATAAATCAAATTACAATAATGCCTTTGTCCACACTACACAACAAATATTTATGCATACATAGACTGATCGTAAGCATCTTAGAACATTAGGAAAAGCGCTATAGAAATCCCATGTATTATTATTATTATTATTATTATTATTATTATTATTAATAATCAAAACTCAAATTTGATGCCAATGCTTAATGTTGTGGTACATTTAGATGTTGTTGTATAATTGTTGGTGCTGAGAAATCAAAAAGATAACGCGTTCACCCATATTGATGTGAATATTTTGGATGTCAATTTATTCCATTTTTTGAAGATGTTCAAAACTAAACAAACATGAGAACAATTATTTATAATAATAAAAAGAAGCAAAATAACCAAAAACTTTCAAGGTATAAATAATATAACAATAAATACTGAAATAGTTTCCTTCATGTTCAAAAGGGGCAAGAAAAATTCATTTGTTCATGAAATAAAAGTTCAGTTCATCGTCATCAGCATCCGTGATGTAAATCCGTTCTGGGTGCAAAACGGCTTTAAGTCTAAGTCTTCTCCTTTCTGTCCCCATGGCTCCCAGGCTGGTCTATCACTGAAGGAGAGGCTTCTCATCGCTCTGGACGTGGTGGAGGGGATCCGCTTCCTGCATGGTCAGGGCCTCTTGCACAGAGACATAAAGCTAAAGAACGTTCTGGTAAGTTCAGAGCAGCTAAAAACTCAGCAAACCTTTTTTAGTCTGTGACTTCTGAGGGTTTTTGTGTGTTTTTTGTTTCTAGTACAACTTTATTATAACACCTCAGGGGCTTCATGGACGAGCAGTGCACAGACATAACGAGCCCCCTTTTTTGATGTCATTTCAATTCCAGTTAGACAAACAAAATCGTGCAAAGATAACGGACCTGGGCTTCTGTAAACCAGAGGCCATGATGTCCGGCAGCATCGTAGGAACGCCCATCCACATGGCCCCGGAGCTTTTTACAGGTACGATTACGGAGCAGTCACATGACCTATACCAGTGTCTCCAGGAAGTGTGTCAGGACTGACATTTGTTATCTTATTTCAAAATGATACCAAATTGTGCAGGAAAGTTATTTATTAGTCTTTTTAAGGTTCCTCTGCTTGTGATTCTTCCCCTGACAGGAAAGTACGATAACTCTGTTGATGTTTACGCCTTCGGGATCCTCTTCTGGTACCTCTGCACTGGTTCAGTCAAACTCCCAGAATCCTTTGAGAAATGCGCCAGCAAGGACCAGCTCTGGAATAACGTTAAAAAAGGTAAACGTTGCTTTCACACCGGCAGTTTGGTGTGTTGTTTCCTGATCAATAAAAGTAAAATGGTTCGGTTTGTGTTCGCTCTGACTTTTAACAATCCTACCAAGAACGTGATGTTACACAAACAGGAACGCACTGATTGGATAGTTTTGGTGTTGTTATCTGGAGATGTGTTAATAATACGGATCCATGCGGAGCAAACATCTTCCGGTGACACTTTGATGTTTGTAATGCATTCATTCACATTCTCTGGTGTCACAGATTCAAGATTCGAGGAAACAGCTGATTTTGAGCATTAGTCGACCCATGATGTCATGAATAGTGACAGAAACAAAACGTAAAGAGGCTTCTCATGCAATAATAAAACAAGATTACTTTAAAATCACTTTGTGGCTTATTGTTTAAGGAAGCTGTGTCCATCGCAATGACAGTCAAAACAAACCCAGGAGATGTGCAATATTGTAGATTTTTAACATAAGCGGTTTTATTTGAGCTAATATAAATGGTTTTAATATTTAATATATTTTGGCATCTACAGTCGTGGCTAGAGAGACTCTCTTGAACACTATTTAACTGGATTTTTGTTTAATTTCTTCATGAAGTTAAATTAGATTAAAGTTAAGGAAGTTTTGTTAAATAAATGAATTTAATTTTGAAAGTTAGGAGCAGACCACATATTTATTGCTGTAAACGCAAAACATAAATCTGGTATTTTATCTACATAGTCTGTTTTGTAACCAAAACTATTTGATATTCACAATAAAACAATATGTCGTCATACATGTTTTTTCTCCTGCCGTGTCAGGTCAGACACGAAGCGTGCCAGAGCTGTTTGGCATTAAATAATCACCAAACAACACTAAACATTGCTGTAGGTATAAAGACATTCTATAAACTATACTTTTACAATTGAGTTTATAAAGGCTTGAAAGATGGAAATATATTCTGTGCTTGAATTGAGCTTTTCAAGAGCTGTAGGAGCGGCTGTATTGTTCCTATTTTCACTCTATCCCG